AATAATTTTCTGGTATGAGATAAATCTAATAAGGCAATGATTAGTTACTAATGATTATGTAGAATCTTTATAGAATTTTCTTGTCAGTTTGCACTTCAGACTAATAAGAGCAGGCCTATAATCTCAGCACTTGGAAGACTGAGGCAAGAGGATTGTCATGAGTTTAAGGCCAGCCTGAGCTACATAGTAAGTTCTAGGTCAGACTAGGTTATAGAATGAGACTCTATCTCGAAAATTTTAAGAAAAAAATGGCTAATAAGGTATTTTTGATGCTTGCTTCTCTTAGAAAAAAACAAGCAATATACCAAATGTCTTAAAAGATCAGAATGGATAACTGAAGGGAATAGCTCATGATGGCATCACACATGTGACACACAGGACAATCTGTCTTCTTTCAAAGGGAACTATGGACTCTTGCTGCAAATACCTCCAACCAACAGCTGACATCTTGGAGTATTCTCTGTGTGAGAGCACTGAGCAGCAAGCAGACAGCAAGCAGATAACGAGGTGACATATGAACAGACTGGAGGAAAGCTCACACCTCAGGGCAGTGAGAGCTGAGGCCCAGAGGAGGTAGACAGGTTGCAGGACAGAGCACAGGAGGCAGGAATCACTCAGGGCCACCAAATAGAGGGCCAACAGAACCCAGCAAGACAGACAGACTTTGGCCCAGTCAGAGACCAGAAAGGGCGCCTCATCTTCCAGCCTCTGTACTCTTCAGCCTGCTTCTGTCTGGCAGAGTTGGAACTGAATAGTCTAAGAATGACTGTGGATGCAGAAGGGGAGAGAAAGCCTCGATCCTCTGCCTAGGATGCCGAGGCACAAAGAAACAGAGGCCTCCATGCACCTGTGTTCCTTCCCTTTGTACTGGGCAATGCAGGCCCCAGGTCATCATCTGGCTGGGTATTTCCTGGCCTCTTTTTCTTAGATTCATTTCCCTCCACGGTACTGGGAATAAATTCGATGTGGGCTGAAAATGGATTCTTCAAGGTGCCAGGGATCTTGCAGGTTTTGGAATAGAGAGCCCGATGTGAGGCTCTCCCTCTAGCATGGCCACGCTCCTGTTAGGAAGTAGATGATGGATAGCCCCACTGCCTGCAGCTGCCATGCTGGGGCAGGCCAGGTGCTTAAACCAGATCTTCCAGTCTTGCCAGGAATGGCCAGAGGTTAAGTGTTCTCCTCTGCTTGTCCCTCCCTGCCAGTCTCCCAGCTAGCCTGTCACCTCTGGTGGGTAATCCTACTGCCCAGTCTTCTGTTCCAGGATCAATGCTTGCTTTTCCTTCCTTGATATACGGACAGAGGCTGAGGTGGAAAGTCACACGCCCAGCATTAGAAAGGAAACAACATTGCCTTCTGTGTGTCTCGGTTTTTATCTTGTGCTCACTGAGTTGGAGCGCCTGAACCTGCACTCCAGGATTTATTTTGTAAGTGGCATGCATATAATATCATATGCATATAAGACCCTTCTAGATACAACATTTCAATGGTCAAATGGAAGCATGAGATAGAAACCCTAAAATTGTCTTCCTGCTCCTCTAGAAACAATTGCTCCAGACCCTGTCTTAAGTCACCATCAGAGAACAGTCAACTGGAAGTAGAAACTTGCTGGTGGCCATGAGTGACCGGCTCTGGGAGCCTTATGGGATGTGGCCAGGTCTCCTCTAAGACAACACCCGAGGCATATGACCCTGTTGGGGGGGGACACTCACTGTGAGGTCAGGAGGTGCCTTGGTCTAACATCTCACCTTGACTGATGTGAAAAGTCAGCACCATGGTGCCAAGTAGGCACATCCCACACTAGAGCGCTGTCCTTGGCTCTGTTTGGTCAACTTCTAGTTTGGCTGACTTTGGTTTCACCGACTTTAGACATAAAAGCTGACTATCCTTGTAACTAGGCCAAAAATGTGACCAGGGGCTGTGGTCGACACTCCACGGCTTTCTCTAGCCCTGTCACTTCTGCTGAACCTTCCTGGCATTTGTTAGCCGAGTACATTCACCTGACTGCCCTTCCCTATCAGGCCATCCATGTGGAAATTTCCAGATAATGAAACCTTAATTTACAAAAACTAGATCTCCTTTAGAAATCAAGCTCTAAATTTCAAAATAAATTTCAAATAAGACCCATGAAGCTGGGCATGATGGTGTATCCCTTTAGTCCAAGCACTCAGGAGGCAGAGGCAGGCAGATCTTTGCGAGTTCAAAGCCTACCTAGTCTACATAGTGAGTTCCATATCAGCTGGGGCTACAGAGAGACCCTGTCTCAAACCCCCCCAAAACAAATAAATAAATAAGACCCATGAATTCTTGAAAGTTCCTACTTAAGGTATAGAAGGACCTGCAATGAGTTCTAACTACCTCCACAGTCAAAGAAGAATGTGCTTTCTGTTATGATTCTGGAACTCTGACTTAGCCTCCAGTAAACACTTGAGAAATGAACTGGAGTCCAAGCAGGAAAACAAACTCCCAGCCACTGAGCTGCAGACAAAGGTTTGTAGCAAAGGTTTTAGAGTCAACTTTAGGAAAAACAAAGTAGAGACAGAGTTGAAAGATTCTACAAAGAAAAAGAATGCTCCTGCTAGTTATGCACAAAGGGGACTCCATGGGCTTACACAAAACCAGTATACACATCCTGGTGGGGGGTGGGTGGGGTTCAGCCCATGTCAGCCAGAGGCACCAGGTTCCCATTGGACAATAAGGAATTCTCCTCCACCGTGATTAGAGAGAGAAGACATGATAATATAAGACAGACTAAAAGAAATGTATGTCATTTACAAAGGGGTGTGTGTGTGCCTGTGCATGTACCCATGTGTATCTGCATATAGAAGTCAGTGGACAACCTTAGATGTTGTTCCTCAGACATCACCCACCTTCATTTTCTTTCTTTCTTTCTTTCTTTCTTTCTTTCTTTCTTTCTTTCTTTCTTTCTTTCTTTCTTTCTTTCTTCTTCTTTTTTTTTAGACAGAGTCTTTCACTGGTCTGGAACTCACCAATTTGGCCGGGCTGGTTAGCAACCTCCTCCAGGGCTTTACCTGTCTCTGCCTCCCTGGTCTGGGATTGCAAGCACTCCCCATCATGCCTGGCTTATTGTTTACATGAATTCTAGGGATCAGAGGTAGGTCTTCATGCTTTCAAGGCTTTACAAACAGAGCTATCTCTCTAGCTCCAACGTAAAGACTCTCAAGCCAAGAAAGGTTGTGGTGAATGTCTGTGATCTCAGCACTTGGGAGCCTGAAGTGAGAGAACCCCGAGTTCAAGGCCAGCCTGGGTTACAGAATGAGACTGTCTCAGAAAAATAACACAGACCAAAAGGAAGGACTTTAAAACATTTCCTTTGACTCATTCAGAAAAAAAAAAAGCCAACAGAGACTATATGATAATTGAGAAGATGGAAATTAAAGCAGAGTTCAGTCTTTTTGAGACAGGGTCTCCCTGTAGCCCCAGCTGTCCTGGAACTCACTATGTAGACGAGGCTGGCCTTGAACTCACAGAGATCAGCCTGCCTCTGCCTCCCAATGCTGGGATTAAAGGCAGTTTTTAATATTCTATTATGAGTCACAGAGCTTTGATGCTGGGGTTTTGGGCACTGTATCTTCCTGAGCTGCTTTTGATTTTTATTTTTACTTTTATTGTTTGGGTTTTTTGGGGTGGGGGATTGAAACCTTGTCTCAAAAAAAACCAAAACAATAAAAACAATTTCAAAACCGGTGCATAGTGCACATCTTTGATCCCAGAGGCAGGAGGAGCTCTGTGAGTTCAAAGCTAGTCTGGTCTACGTAGTGAGTGCCAGGCCAGCTGGGGCCACAGGGAGACCTTGTCTCCCTCAAAAAGACCAAAGCGGGCAGGTGGAAACAACAGTTTCAAGAAGTAACTGATACTGATCCATTGATTCTCAAACTAAATCTAACTGTACGTTTACCATATGCCAAACAGCACACATCATGTGCCCATGAGCTTGCATGCCTCAAAAAGAGGGTATCAGTAGCGAGATGGAGAGAGACATGTCTGAACTGCCTCGTGGGTCATGGAAAGCCAGCCTAGATCCAATCTCCTGAGCTCCCTTATACACTCTTGATCCCCACTCTCTGCTGACCAGCTCTATCACAGCTTCTCCCCAAGTCTAGTGTGGAACAGTCAGTTGGTGGGTGGAAGGATTTGACTTTCAACCTGAGATTATTGCCCAGCTCTCAGAATGAAAGCTGTCAGTGTCTGAACACAGGCTCAGCAAGGGAGCCAAGCCCCGCTTCTGTAAAGAGAGAAGTTACATGTGAGCCAACGGCATTGTCCCAGCAGACAAAGGTTCAAGGCAAAGCTATTCCAGAGCTACTTAACAATTTCCAAAATAGTAGCAAAATGTTTCCATAAAACCAAACTGGCTGCCAGGGAAGAAAAGCATACACTACATTCTCAAACTTGTTCCTTTAATTAGGAACAGATCCTGCTGGCTGGGGTTCCTTCCCAGAAGTAGACATCCCTGAAAACCAGAAACAGCTTGACATGCTGTGGAGTTGCTAATGCTTCTCCAATATGAATTCCTAATTGGGTTTAAAAAAAAAAAGCAACCAGGAATTTTCACACTGATTTTGATTCAGAATTCAAAACAGAACCTATGAGGTACATTTCCGCATTGTTCCAAACTGTACACAAGCTGGTTCACAATTCTTAAGACCCCTTCAAACACTGAACAGAAAGGAAAGGCAGACCCCAGCATGAATCCTGCATTTGATACCAAAGAAGCTCTTCTTATTCCGAGACATGAAAACTCTCCTGCATTCCTGAAGGATGCTTTCAAACATTAGAATCTACTTGCTTTGTAAAGGAGGAGCCTGGGCTGGGAGATGCTGAAGTGGCCCCTGCCCCCCCCCCCGGGGGGGGGATTCAGAGAGTGTTTGCCTGCTTTTCTCTGTTCACTTACTATAGACACTGGCTCGTTCCTTGCCTTGCCTTCTGGTCTAACAAAGCATCCAGAGGCACCATGGGGTCTGGAAGGCAGAACATCTTACCTGCGCAGTTGGCCCTCCAGCATTTCCATGTACTTCACGGTGCTGTCTTTAACATTTGCTTCTGCAAGACAAAAATTCAGTGTGAACACAATTGTAGCCCAAACAGAAAGAAAGCCACAACTGCTCATCTAAAAGCCGAAAACAAAGGATCATGGTCAAGGCTCTAATAATAACAACATGTTGTGCTTGGGAAACCCGAAGGTCCATCCAAGTGGCTGTGTGGAGCCATGCATTGGAAGGATGCTAGAGACTGGTTGGAATGAGGTGCTTCCCCGCCTCCACAGGCTTCAAGCATTTGAACACTTGGTCAGTGGGTGGTGCTATTTGCAGAAGCTCAGGAGGTGTGGACTTGCTCAAGGAAGCATGTCAATGTCTGGCCCTCTCTGCTTCCTGCGCATGCTTAAAGAGGTAAAAGTTCAGCTTTCCTCTCTGGCTGCCTTCTGCCATCCTTCCCACCATGATGGACTCTTATTCCTCTGGAACCCAAAACCCAAATAAACCCTTCCTTCTGTAAGTTGCCTTGATCACAGTGCTTTATCACAGCAACAGAAAAGTAACTAATACACATACTAAGGCTCCAATTGTCTCTGCAGCTCAAACTGGACAAGGGGCAATGACACTGGGCCACCTGACTTGGTACTCTCACAGGTAGCGCTCTGTCAGTCCATCCCTATAACAACATCTTCCTTCCAAAGAAAAGCTGCCATACACTTAACATTCATAAGCAATCCAGTCTATCAGACTCATGTTTTTGTTAAACAAATTAGACACTAAATGGTTATTCCTGATTATGGTTTGAAGGTGAATTGTTCCCTCACAGAAAAGTATCTTTGAACACTTGGTCCTTGGCTACTGGTGGTGTTTGGGCAGTTGTAAAACCTTTTGGGCTGTAGTGTAGTTTTCAGAAGTGGATCACTGGGAGTGATCCTTAAACATAATATCTACCTCTAGGGAAGTGTTTTTCCCAGTTCTTTTGCACGGGTACTTGTAGCCAACTGCATCCATTGTGCAAGGGGGCCGAGCTCCATCCTGAGTTGGCAGTAGACCTTGGCATCATCACATGCTACTGCTTTTGGAGACATACAGAATACGAGAGTCACAAGGTCGTGGAGGATTGCACCAAGGTTCCCAAAAAAAACCCTGCAAAGCCAGGGAATGTGTATAAAGGAAGACCTAAAAGGCCCTCAGAGGCCAATGTGTGAAGTTTGGAGGATGAAGGCTAGTTGCAATGGAGACCCTAGGATGATGGAATGTGGAACATCTGGAAGAGAAAGTTTCAAGCACTGAGCAGAGCCAGCCCAAGAGATAGACAGTGTGTGGCTGCACGCACATGCAGTAGGGCTATAAGAACAGGACTACCCAAGTCTGTTAGCGTTCAGATGCTGTCTCAGATGCTGGGTGTGGAGCTATAGGTACAATGTGTACCTGCTAGATTTCAGCCTTGTTAGATTCCAACCAATCCCTCCTTACTATCCTCGAGTTCCTATTTTGGAATGAGAATGTCTACTCTCTGAATTATATTAATATACTGGAATTTTTAACTTTTATTTTTTTTATTTTGCAGGAATTCATAGTTAGGCGATTGCCTTGAGTCTCAGGAGAGACTTTGGATTTTTTAACCAGTGTTGGGACTGTAAAGACCATTAGGACTCTTGAAGTTAGATTTGATTCATTTTGTGTGATGAGATAAACATGAGCTTGTGGAGGTCAGTGGAGGAATGTTTTGGTTGGAATGTGAAGTGTCCTCTGTCGGCTCATGTGTTTTGAACACTTGGTCCCCAGAAGTGGTGCCATGTGGGGAAGTGGTAAAAGATTTGTGACCTGTGGCCTGGCTAGCAGCAGAGAGTCACTGGGGTGATTTCTGCTTTTGCTTCTAATCTAAGCTTTCTGCTTACTGATCCATCAAAATATCAAGAGCCGCCTAGTACACATTACTGTACTAGGGACAGAGCTACCCCACCTGCCATGCCTTCCCCACTATGATGGACTTTTCTCTCTGAAACCATGAGTCAAAATAAATCTCTTGGCAGGCAAATCTGAGAGGAGGGATGGGGAGTGAATATGGTCATTCGTATTCACATTGTAAGAAACCCAAAAATTAATATAAATACTATATTAAAAATAAATAAATCTCTCCTCACTAAAATTGCTTCTGTCCGCAGAAATATAAGCCTCTCCTCTAGGCTTCTGCAGGGTCACCTTGTAACATGGGAGACTTCCCCTAGAGAGTCCCCTGGAGCTTCCTGTGGTTCCCAGCATCCCTGGGGCCTGACATTTGGGCAGGACACAGTGCTGGCATAACAATTTCCTAACCCTGAACACCTCCCTCAACCAGGCAGTCTAAGAGCTCAGAGTCAACTCACAACCTTGAAGACAGGCCAGACTGCAGACATGAAGTTTAGACTTTAAATTTCCAAAATAACAGGACCAAAACACACTGACTGAGCATAGGGCGTATCTTCTCACCTTCTCGCCCCCCCCCCCCTCCCTGAGTCCAAGTGAGAACTACCTCAGAGGAGCTAGTGATTCCAAGGACCAGGGACAGTGCTCAGGAGATGTAAACAGAAATAGCAATGGGCCCTTAGCCACCTGATGAGAGAGAGGCATGAGGCATCACTGGGGTGGGTTGAATGAGAAATGTCTCCCATGGGCTCAGGTATTTGAACACTTGGTCCCCAGTAGGTGGCACTGTATGGGGAGGTTATAGAACCTTTAGGAGGTGCAGCCTTGATGGAAGTATGTCACTGGGGGCCTCACCCCACTTCCAGTTCATTTTCTTTGCTTCCTGCTCCAGCTGCCTGCGGCCGTGCCTCCCCTACCATCATGGACTCTCCCTCTGGAACCATAAGCCAAAATAAACTTTCTTCCATAAGTTGCTTCTGGTCATGGTATTTTATTACAGCAACAGAAAAGGTACTAGTACAATCACTCTCCCACTTGCGAAGTGAATCTAATATTCAGATTCAGGCCATATTATTAGAATGGAATTCATATAATTACTTTCATGAATCTAAATTAAATGGAAACTAATTGATGATTGAATGCAGTAAATTTATAAAATTATTTAGCAGAGTATGTACCACTAACACGGGTCAGTGCTACAGGCCGAGTCCCACTTCAGGCAAGGCACTACACTTGGTTTTGTGTGTGTGTGTGTGTGTGTGTGTGTGTGTGTGTGTGTGCACGCAAATGTACATGCAGGTATGTGTGTATGTAGAGGCCAGAGGTGTTTTCCTCTCATTTTTTAACACAGGATCATAGACTGAATCTGGAGCTCACTGATTTGGCTAGATAGGCAACAATGAGCCCCAGGGACCCTCCTGTTCCCCTCTTCCAAGTGCTAGGATTACAAGCAAGAGCCACCACACCCAAAAGCTACATGGGTGCTAGGGATTGAACTGGGTCTGTGTGTGTGTGTGTGTGTGTGTGTGTGTGTGTGTGTGTGTGATCAACTGAGCCATCTCCCCTATCCCCTATAACTGGTACTACTTAAGTAGAAAAATGACAGTCATCAAGGGACCCAAAGGGGCTACCACTAACAGTGATTTCTTCCTGGAGCTGCTATCTAAAAGTTTTCATCATAACCGATAATCCAGAAACATCTCTATAGGTCTGATAGAAAGAATAAGCAAGCTTCACTGCAGGAACCTTTTCAGGATAAGAAAGAAAAAGAACAGGTCCAGGTGGGTTCCAGTGAACCACACACCCTTTGCATGATAAAAGGACACGGCATCTCATGAAAACAGTACCAGAAAGGAGCAGGGTCCACACAGCCTGGCTATGTTGGATGGGGCAGTGGTCCCAAGGAACCCCAGCCCCTCATCCTCAGTGAATAAGGAGATGCCATCAGATTGGCAGCAATGTCTCTGCCCTGGAAGTGGAAACTATAGAGCATTCATCAACTTAGCATTATTTGTAAATTTTGTGAAACATTGCTCACATTATTGGATTTTTCTAAAACAACAAAAGGATCTGGTTCAATCACCCAAGATTACATAGAAGATGTGAAACATGGTCTTTAGTCCAAGGGTGACTAACACGGCCCATGGGCACAACTCAGCCTACTGCCTGTGTTTTGTGCAGCCCACAAGCTAAGAACGGTTATTGCATTTTTAAAAGTTTGGAAAAGATTTTTTGTTAGGATGCAGCTACAAAAAACATAATAACAAAAGTGCCAAGTGATGCCTGGCCTATTTTTGCAAAAATAAGTGATCAGATTTCAAAGATCAATACTCAAGCACCAATTTAGACAAAATTGGTTTTCCCTTAGAAAAAAAGCTTTTAGAAGGATGATGGGAAAGACAAAGGGAAAACTCTAGAATCCGGACAAATTTTGAAATATCTGAGGTACTAGCCTCGCTCTGGGTTTGTTTGGGCAATTAAACCATGTACAAAAATGAGGAATAAACCCAGCAATCCTGGAGTCCCAGGAGCATGAGCAGTCTAGAGAGAAGGACTTGCAGCTATGCAGTCTGGGCGAGTGAATGGAATGTTACTGCATGGAGGCTTGAAAGCTGTAAGAATCCTTTCCCCAAAGTCATTCTACATATGTCTGATTCCACAAACAAGAACAGGAAGTAAACACTGTCATGAGCCACAAGATGTAGACAGTTTGTCTGATATTGACTATCACATCAGAAACCCAGCATATGGGTGGAAGCCCATGTAAGAATTTAGCTAGCGTTTCACTGAGCCCTTCCAACGTGCCAGGTCCCATTCTAAGAACTTTGTTCTAATCACTGACAATAACATTGAGGAAACAGCAATGTTATTACCCTTGTTTTACAGCTGGTTAAACAGAGAGAGCAGCAAGGTTCAAAGTCACACAGCTAAGTAAGATGGTTCTGGAGCCATCGGACACATGACTGTAAGCTTGTGTGTCACGACAGGGGCTCAGGAAAGGCAACTGAATGAACACATGGAATTACAGAGATAGCAAAATGATGCCCATGTTCAAATATAGAGCATATTCAGGAGAGACCCGGGGCAGCGCTGAAAAAAAGCAGAATGTGTCAGTTGTAAAGAATGGCAGCCAACATGTGAAAACCTCATTGCACATAC